CTCTGCTGCTGTATCGGCGCTGATGGAACGGTTCCAGGACTGCCCCGAGATCCGCCTCGTCGGCGTTTCTTTGGGAGACGCTTCTCATTTATATCCCAGAGAAATTCTGCGTCCCGCTACCCCTGTTGTCCGATTTCGCACGGGAGGCACGCGGGCGTCTTCATCATCCTTCGCTTTGTCGGCTCGAGCAATCTGAACCCTGAAAAGACAAGCTACCCATCCGGACAGGGAGAGAGCTTTTCGCGATCCAACATCCGATGGAGTCCTCCGGCGCAATTGCCGGGGCCATTGCAGCTCACGCTCTCAAGGACAAGGTACGGCTCCTGAAATGGGCCGCATCGCGGACCCTCTCGAGCGTTGAGGAGGAGCTCGCAGCCGGCATTGAGTTCGCGGCAAGCGGCACGGCGGAGGACTTGTGCAAAGGCGGCACGGCGAGGAACCTTGCGGAGGAGTTGCGGACGGTCCTGGATCTCGCGGAGAATCTGCGGACGGTCATAGAAGAACTTCAGGAAGAAGTCCGCCGGCGGTCCGCACAAGCGCCAGGAATCGGGGAAGTGCACATGAGCTCGGCGGAGGAGGCCATGCAGGCCGAGCAGATACTCAACGGCAGTCAGCTGGGAGGGGCGACCATCGAAGTGAAGATGTACGAGCAGACTAAGCTGGCCATCACGGGCATCCCTCCTGGCGTGTCCTTGCAGAACCTGGAGAACCATTTCGGGCAATGCGGCACCGTGAAGCATGCAGATACCGACCGATATGACGCCGACGAACTACTTCAAGCACTGCGGGCTCAAGGAGTTCCAGGGAGAGGGCAGCCTGGCACCGGGGAGGAACGGTACGCTCTCAAGGACCACTTCGCCTCTGCGGGCACCGTGGCGTTCGCCAACTTCCGCAGGGGCGGCGGCCGCGGCGTGAGCTTCAGCCCGTGCGGCGAGGCCAAGGGGGGGACTGGCAAAGGCGACATGGGTTTCAGCCCGCATGGCGAGGCCAAAGGGGAGGGGGGGCGCACGAGGGAGGAATTCTGAGCGCCCCCCAAGGGTGCGCTCAGAATTCCTCCGGAAGGGGGCTTGAGGTAGAGAGGCGCTGGCCGTTTCAGACCGCGCTGATCCACCCAGTAACCTTGGCCACCCAGATTACCGTAAACATCATCACGACATCGTTTGGGTCGACAACCGCTTCACCGGAGTGATCTGATTCACGACCAACTGCTGTTAGGCATTTGCCCATTCTTTAACATCTAAATATCCAAAAAGATGAATGTATGGGACGCCTTGCGTGTGCGTGCGCGTGTGCGTGTGCGTATGCGTGTGCGTATATATGTGCGCATGCGTGTGCATGTGCGCGAGGACGACAGCGACGGCGATGACAAACACGACGACGAGTACTATAATGACGTCGGTGATGCCGTAGTCGATGACGCATGATGAGCAGCGCGACGATGATGATGAGGCTCACGAGACTCCCGACGATGAAACTGATGACGTTGATGACAACGGTAGTGAAATCACCGTGGGCACGTGTTGCCAGATAAGATGAGGGCCCTCGCTCGAAGGAGCGCATTCCTCAGGGCCCGACAACCCGCACCCATGCCCATACCCAATCCTGCTCCTACCAACGACCCCCCTACCCATGCCCATACCCAATCCTGCTCCTACCAACGACCCCCCTATGGATATGGGTGTACGTTGTTCGTTCGTCGCATACTGCCACCGTACCCATTTTGGCTCAACCCATATTGAGCAAACGGCTCCCGAACTCCCGAGCTCCCGAGCTCTCGGGTCCGCAGCGTCATAAACATGAAGCGTCCAGCTGCTGCCGGCGGAGCGGACGCAGCCCCGGCGCCAGCCCCGAAAGCGGCCAGAACTCCCGAACTCCCGAGCTGTCGGGGCCGCAGCATCATAAGCATGAAGCGTCCAGCTGCTGCCGGCGGAGCGAGCGCACCCCCGGCGCCAGCCCCGAAGGCGGCCACACAGGATGATGCGGGCACGCCGTCATTCACGTCGGTGTATGACGTGGAGACACGCATTTTCACAAAGTATTGGCCGTCGGCATACACGCAGTGGTGGAACGACAATGGCGTTTGGCGGCACGCACGCTGGAAGTGCCTAGACGTCGTCTATATTGATGGTATTTACGAGGAGTGTTGGCAGTGGGAGTACATCCGATGATGGCGTTCATCTCTGCGCCGCTGCCGTTTATATTCATACAGGCAGCCGTTCATATGTCTCAGCGCGTTGATTTTCAGAGGCAGCCGTTCATATGTCTCAGCGCGCTGGTTTTCAGTTCATACCAGATTCGATCATGATACGTACCATTGCGCTGGATTCCAGCGCGTATCATTATTTGCGCTGGATTTCAGTGCGTACCATTACGCTGGATTTCAGTGCTGGATGTTCAGTTGTTCAGATCCTTGCGCTAGATTCCAGTGCGTGACATTATACGTATCATTTTAGCTCTCAGCTTCAGGCTTGATCGGGTCGCAGCCTTTCATCGCATCTCCGCAGCGCATGCCGTTCATATACCAGTCGCTCATATTCCTCAGGCTGATTATATAGGAGGTTTCCTCGCCGTGGCGACTTCCGAACGCGTCGCAGCCTTTCCCATCTCAGCAGCGCTTTTGGCGCTGTCTTCCACATGGTCGCAACAAATGTTGCAGGAAAAAGTTATCCTGGCGAAGAGCCCAACCATATGAAATTGTGAATACTGCAATTGTGAATACCTTCTCGGCGGCGCCCCCTACAGGGCCACGAAACGTACGAGGGGTGTGCCACACCCACTGGACCTTCGGTGGGCAAATAGCTCCACATTCCCACAGGATCGAGCGAACTGGATTCCAGTTCGCCCTGAAATGGCCCCATATCCCCCCGAGATCGGGCGAACTCAATTCCAGGTCGCTTCAAAATGGCCACCGACCCACCCGAGATCGGGCGAACTGGATTCCCCCCCGAAATCAGCTCCATATTCCCCCGACATCGAGCGAACTGGATTGCAATTCGCCTCAAAATGGCCCCCGACCCCCCCGAGATCGGGCGAACTTGATTCCCCACCGAGAGGGCCCCAAATCCCTCCGAGACCGGGCGAACTGGATTCCAGATCGCCCCGGAATGGCCCGAAGCGTCCGACCTCATTGCCTGCAATCCGTTGCCCATTTTGCTTGGCAAGCCTATCATAAACCTATCATTCCCGTTTAATGAAGCGCATCTCAAGGACAAACTTGCGAGGGCAAGCTCGTGGGAACTGGCAATGGCAGGCTCTTCGACAATCACATACGTGCAACGGCAACGCGATTATGCAGAGCACGAGTCCTGGATACAGAATCAAACTCGGAGGAAACAGCCTCGAACCGACGACATGGACACGTGGACCTTAGATGAGATCAAAGAATGGGCGAACAAATGCCCCCGAATGAGACGATGGATGCAGATAACGTGGTGGACCCCAGTGCCAGGAATACCGATAGCAAAGACAGACAACTTTACCTCTACCGTTGCCTACATTTCCATTGGCGATGTCACATACAGGATGATGTTCTGCCTGGAATGCAAAATGATTGCCAGGATGAGAAATACAGATAGATATTGGAGTTCATTCGGTAAATATTGTATTAGGGATATTCGCAGCTATGGTCACATGTGGGTTCCACCCGAGGAGTACTTCTAGATGCGAATCGCCAGCGTGGTCACATGGGGGCACGGCGAACATGGTCACATGACGCTAGAGATATTGGCAAACATGCTCACATGCTACTATAGATTTTGGCAAAAACGTTCACATGCGGGCACGGCGAATCTAGATGCGAATCGCCAGCATAAGGTCTGGACTATATGTGCATGTAGATGCGAATCGCCAACAGGCACCTTGATGAGAGCGCAACCCTGGAAAAAAGGGATTCCCGGTTCCCATTCTACTTTGCCGCCCCCCCCCCCCCCTGCCTCAAGAGTCGAGCAGTTGCCCCTCCCCCCTCCTGTTCGGGAAACGGGCGGAAGCCCAGCTTCCTTTCAACGTCTTCCTCCTTCGGAGTTATGCTTATTTCCCTGACCGATGGATGCCCGGGGGGGACGGGGAGAAGAGGTGCGCGTCTCGCGCCCTGGCCACATGGGGCCACGCGTGGCCCCTTTGGGACCAATGATATCGGTGACGCAACTCGATGTGGAGCCCGACTTTCCCCACGCCAGTGTCGCTGATGCACCGCCGATTCTTCGGTGATGCATCGTCGATGCATCGTCGGTGCGGCACGATCCGCCGACCCCATCGACTCGGACCTCATTTGTCAGGCCTCTGGATAGACTCAAGGGGTCCAGCGTTCAAGGACAGTTGTCTTGGGCCTCTGGTGGCATCCGCAGTGGGGATGAGGTTGCTACGCACGGCTGAGTACACGCCTGCCGGTGAAATCGCGCATTTACGGACTTCCCGTTGACGGCCCCCGTCCTCGCGCTGCTCCTCCTGTTGCCCTTCAGCCGCTCCTTTCTCCTCCGTATCCGTTTTGGCTCGAGCAAGCCTGCCCCTTGCCCCGCGGCTGCGCGCGCGGCCGCCCGCCGGCAGCCCTATGCGCCGCTGCGCGGCTGCGCCGCTGGGCCCCCGCGGCGCTTGGCAAGGACCTGGCTCATGCTTCCTTTCGACGCCGTCGGGTGGCCTGAGGTCGTGGGCGCCCGAGATGCGCACGGAAAGGATGGTTACGACGTCCAACAGCAGTTCCTGTTCATTATGTCACTGTGCACGCCGCCGCGGCCTGTGTCCATTCGAGACAGGAGGCCGCCTGCCCAACAACGGCCGCTGTTAATTTCGGGTAGCAGTTGCTGTTGGACATTATACCCGTTCTTTCGGCACCCATTTCGGGCATCCAAAAAGGTGGGTGTATGGAGGCGCCCTCCGCCGCGACCGCCACACCCGCCCGCCTGCAAAGAAGGGCAGGCGCAACACACCGAGGCGACGGCGGGCGGCGACCGCGGAGACCGCGGGGCGCCAGCCAAGGCGCGCCCAGCAACGCGCCGCCGCCGCAGCCGCAGCCGCCGCGGCGGCGGCGCCGCTTCGCAGCCAGAGGCCGCCGAGAAGGAGGACGAGTCCTGGAGCGCCTGGACCGCGACTGGGAAGCGGCCGGCGGCGGGGGACGAGGCCGCCGAGGAGGGCGAGTCCCGGGGCCCCTGGATCGCAGCCGGGAAGCGGCCGGTGGCGGAGGCCGAGGCCGCCGAGGAGGACGAGTTCTGGTGCGCCTGGACCGAGGCCGCTGAGGAGAACCAGTCCTGGGGCGCCGGGACAGCGGCCGGGAAGCGGCCGGCGGCGGAGGAGACCGCCGAGGAGAACGACTCCTGGGGCGCCTGGACCGCGGCCGGGAAGCGGCCAGCGGCGGAGGAGGCCGCAGAGGATGACGACTCCTGGGGCGCCTGGACCGCGGCCGGGAAGCGGCCGGCGGCGGAGGCCGAGGCAGCCGAGGCCGAGTCTCGGGGCACCTGGGGCCCGACTGGGAAGCAGCGCGCGGCCGAGACCAAGGCCGTTAAGACCAAGGCCGCAGAGGCCAAGGCCGCCGCCAAGGCCGGCGCTAAGGCCGGCGCCAAAGGCAGCCCGCAGACCGAAGCCGTCCTGAGAGGCAGCCCGCAGACCAAAGCCGCCCCACGGGGCGCCGAGGAGGACGAGTCCTGGGGCGCCGGGACCGCGGCCGGGAAGCGGCCGGCGGTGGAGAAGACCGCCGAGGAGGACGACTCCTGGGGCGCCTGGACCGCGGCTGGGAAGCGGCCGACAGCGGAGGCCGAGGCAGCCGAAGCCGAGTCCTGGGGCGCCTGGAGCCCGACTAGGAAGCGGCGCGCGGCAGAAACCAAGGCTGCCGGACGGACCAGTCCTGCAGGATTGGGAAGGCCAAGGCCAAGGCCGCAGAGACCAAGGCAGCCGCCAAGGCCGCCGCCAAGGCCGCCGTCCTGAGAAGCGGCCCGCAGGCCAAGGCCGCCCCACGATGCGCCTGGGGCCCGGCTGGGGAGCGGCGTGCGGAAGAGACCAAGGCCGCCGCCAAGGCCGCCGTCCTGGGAAGCGGCTTACAAGCCAAGACCGCCCCATGAGGCGCCTGAGCCTGGCTGCGAAGCATCCGTCTTCCTGCGCAGCGGCCACGGCCCCCGCCCGCGACCTGAGTAAAAATCGGGCCGGGCGAAAGGGCTGCGTGGAGCTGATTTCGACCTCACCGGAAGAAAACTTCCTCGACGCGTGGCCGCCTCCGGCGCCGGGAGGCGCCGGGAAAATCAGCTGCGCGGGTTCATTCTCGAGCCCCCCCCCCCTTTGTTATCTCCCTCTTTCGCCCGTTCAGATTCGAATTAAAGCCGGCGGCGCTGACGGCCCGTCGCTGGATGCGCACCATCGCCTTTAATTATTGCACAGCCTCGCTGGGCGCGCAGCTTCGCTGAATGCGCCCACTCGGGTGCTTCCGGGGTTGCCCCGAGCTGCGTTCTTGCAATTCGCATTTCTGTTCAAATTCATTTGCTCATATTGCATGGGCGCACACCTTCGCTGAACTCGCGTTTCTTTTCAAATTCATTTACTCATATAACATGAGCGCACCGCTTCGCTGAATGCGACCACTCGGGTGCTTCCGGGGTTGCCCCGAGCTGCGTCATTTGCTGATATAACATTGGCGCGCGGCGCGCGCATGTCGCATTTATGTACGTTTACTTGCCACCTTTTACATTTATATTCCCGTTTTACATGCTGTCCACGCTTACGCGGCGGATGATCTCCTGTGGGAAATCGAAACCCGATTCCCCACGGGAGACACCCCGCCAGCATCCGTCGAAGGGCTCCCCGCGAGAGCTCCGTCCGCGGCGGATGGTCTCCCGTGGGGAATCGGAGCCGGATTCTCCACGGGACAACCTCCGCCGCGAGCAGGGCCCGTTGGAGGGCCCCCCGAGAGCCCCCATCGAGATTGCGCGCGTTTCTCGCCATCGAAACCGCCATCAAACTCGCCCCCATCGTCCTCACTGCTACTATTCACCGACGCCGCCAACGGCGTCGGCGCATCCATCGTCGCCGTCGCTACCTCTCGAGTGGCGGGGACCTGGGAGTGGAGAATCATGACTGCTATACTGAACAGCGCGTCGTCTCCGTTGTGAGGGGGCCTTGCACACTCGCCCCGAGTCGTTTCTGACGTGCCCACCGCGAGGGTTGAGGGTTGGGGGTCGTAGTGGTGCTCTGGGCCGGCTCTGATTTCGGAGTGCTTAGAAATTGGGCCCCTGGAGGGTCGGAAGGGAGTTTTCGCGCGGCTCTTGGCCCCGATCGTCGCGAATCGATCCTCGATCCGAGGGTCGAGTCGGGGATCGAGAAAATTCTCATCCTCCTGAACCTCCTTCTCCTCTTCCTCCACCTCCTCCACCTCCTCCTGCTCCTCATCCTCCTCTTCCTCCTGTTTGCTCTATTGTCACGGTACGGCGCCGCGGCAGGTGGAGAGGAGAGGAGAGGGGGATGCATTATTCAATTGCAGGGGGTGATCGGAACAGGAAGAGGGAAAAGCGCGGAAGAGAAAACTATCCCCCTCGGCCCCTCTGCTGCTGTAACCGTGCTGATGGGACGGTTCCGGGGTTGCCCCGAGATCCGCCTCGTCGGCGTTTCTTTAGGAGGCGCTTCCCTTTTGTATCCCAGAGCGGGCGGCCCCTCTGCGGCTGTAGCTGCGCTGGTGGGACGGTTCCGGGGTTGCCCCGAGTTCCGCCTCGTCGGCTGTGACTTGAAGAAGGGGTCTCATTATGCAAGGTTGACTTGGAGGACGGGTTTGCTTCGTAGGCTTTGTCGGCGAAATGGCCAGGGGGGAGTGGAGTGCGGAAGGGTGACAGCTCTCACACGCAGCAATTCGCCAGATCAGCCGCCCGCGACCCGCAGCAGTTCCAGGCCAGCCAGCCGCGCCCGCAGTCGCCATGGCAAACGAAGACGCGATGGATCGCATGGCGAAGGCGCTAGACAGCAAGGGGGAGGAGGCCGCAGAGGCGAAGGAGATCTTGTCGGCGGCGATTGAAATTTTAGCGAGATCGGAGAGAACGAAAAAGAAGAAGAAAATAACGGGGACGTCCGCCTCCGACATCGTAACGGACCGAGTTTTCAACAAGAAGACGGTGGCAGAGGCTGTGACAACACACCAGGAGAAAGTGGCCAAAAGCCCAGACGATTATATATGGTGCCGCGATGGATCGTACGCCGCCCCCAAGAATCAGGTCAGGTGGTGCTGGGAATGCGGGGAGAAAGACAATTGGAAAATGATGTTCAATTTCTTCACGAAGGAGCGGCCGCAGAAGTGGTGCACGTCCCCCGGCGTTTGGAACGAGAACTGGTTCTGGGAACAGGGCAGCCAGAACGAGCACCGCGGCCACCATTGTTTCCCCTGCCACGCGGAGAGTACTGGCGCCGACACAGTGACGGCCAAGAAGGCTCTCCTGAAACAACTCGGCAAAACGAATAAACATTCATGGGGTTCGGCCAGATCTCGCGAGCGCGTCGACAAATACAAGGCGTCCTTCACCGAGATCAAGAAAGCTTTCACCGGCCTCGTGGGCTTCGCACTGGACGGCGATGGAGGCGCCTCCTGGAGGAAAGCGACGATGGGAGTCGAGATCGGAATCGACCCCAAGAGCAAGGGAGCCCAACCGGACGAGGCGGTCGACGATCTAGGCCGAGAATGGGCCGAGGTGCCCGAGGAGGGCTGGGCGCTGACGGGCTCTTCCTCGGCCGCCGCCAAGCCGGAGGAGCCGGCCATGTTCGGAGCCCAGAGCTGGGACGAGTTCGTCGACGGCGACTTGTTGACCGCTTTGAATCACGACCAAAGGCGTGCCATCGCAAGAGCGTATTTGCAGATCCAGACGCAGCGGCTCAGGCGCATCGCGGCGCCGCAGATGAACTTGATCATTTGCAAAAAACGGGACATGAACAAAGCCGTCGCGTGCGCCAACGTGTACAGCGACTGGCTTAGCACAGACATTTACAGCGAGATTTCCGACTTCACACTGAAGGAGGACCAGCAATTCTGCCACAACATTCAAGAATCCATGACGGCCAACGCCGAGAGGATGCAGGGCTTCTCCAAAGCCGTCGAGGCTGGACATGGCAAGCCAGGCCAATACCAGTTGGTTTGTGATTACTCAGACCACTTCCTTGCAACCGATAAGGGCCGCATGAACACATACTACTGTTGCGGCGGCAAGACGAACTACAGCATGGAGAAAAAGAAACACGTGCGGTGCAAGGCTGTGATCCGGACTGACAGATGGGCGCAATTGCTCACGATCAATCAGGAGATCGAGCAGGAAGGAGTTGGCCAAGCGTGGTACTGCCATTGTGGGACGAAGTACACGCCTGGGAAGGGGAGCGTCTTGGTCGAATGGATCGACTTCGAAGCCGTCCCCCAACAAGCCTGGCACTTCGTGGCCGTCCACCCGCAGTACGACATCAAAGACCTCAAGACGCTGTGCCGGGAGGCGGCCCTGGCCAAGCAGATGGACGTCAGCAAGCTGCGCCCCATCGACGTCCTCAAGTACCTGCCCAAGGTCGAGCCCCTCGCTATGGGATCGGTGGTGAAGCCGCACAAGGAGGACGACCAGAAGTGGAGGGGACACTGGGTGTTAGCTGACGGAATCGAGTGGGACAGCCTCCCAGCGTGGGACTGGGACTGGCTGCACGCGCAAGTGGCTCGGGGCTGGAGCGACCCGCCAGATAACCTCTTCCAGAAGGAAGGAGATTCGAAGGCGCTCATCTCCGAGAAGAAGCGCTTGCGCAAACTCTGGTGGAACCTGTCGAAAGATGTCAAAAAGATGGACGCCAACGACGAGGAGAGCATGCAACAGGAGGCGAAGAGCAAGGCGAACCGCGCCTACGACGACGGCGGCTCCGACACGGAGACACCGGTTGCCACTGAGGATGCCGCGGCGGCGCGCCTCCAGCTTCCCGAGATCCCAGCGGTGAACAAGAGGCCCCCGCCGAAGCGCATGATTGTCGACCTGGAGCCGTCGTCCGAAGATTCCTCGGACCATGAGCCGCCCAGTGCCCGCGCGCGCGCTCAGCCACTGAGCGTTCGCACCGCGTCTCCTCCTGCAGTTTCTCCTTCCTCGCGCTCCCGGGGCTGCCCCGAGTTGCGCTGCCTCACCTCCCCACATCCTTTCCGCATTTACATGCGTTTATTTGAACAATTGTTCATTTATTTGCTTTCATTGTACAGACCTTCAACCAATCGTGCGTGGGTGGTGGGTCAGAACCTCATGAATCCTGATTAGAATCTCGTGGATGGCTGGTACTTCTGAACGCCTCTTGGGCGACTTTTGAGGTTTAATGGAATCCTCTTCGGGCATGTTGAGGCCAATATCGGGCCTGTCGAGAGTCTTCTAGAAGCCTCTTGGGGATTTTTGGGAGCCTCCTGAGACTTCTTGGGAGCCTCTTGGGGCTTCTTGAGGCCCCAGGAGATTATTAGAGGGCTCTGTAATCTCCAGGGGCCCCCAGTGGATCCCAAAAGCGCCCAAAAAGAGCCGCAAGGGTGCATTTACTTTGTATCTCTAAGGATGCCCACACAGAGACCTGCTGAGATCTGCAAGGAGCCCCCTGGAACCTGTTTCAGAGAGTTCCCGAGATTTTCCACATCCCCAAAGAGCTCACCAGGAATCCAAGAAGCCCCAATGCAGAGACCACAGTAGATCCCAAAAGCACCCAAAAAGAGCTACACTCTTACATAATACTTTGTGTCTCTTTGGGGAGGGGATCTCTTGAAAATCTCCCAGACCTTCCTGAGATCCTGCTAAAGGGAGCTCCCGAGACTTCCCGAACCGAATACCCGAGGAGCCGCCAAGGAAATCCAAGAAGACCCCACGAGCATCACCAGGGGACCACAAAAGACACCGCAAAAAGAAACACACTCGCGCAGAATCATATCCATGGCGCGTGTTGATGCGTAGCTCTCGCGCCATGCCAGCGGCAGCCGCGGGGCCACTTCGCGCTCCATTAGCTCATAATCAGCACCATGCATTGAGCTGCTCTCTCTCTCTCTCTCTCTCTCTCTCTCTCTCTCTCTCTCTCTCTCTCTCTCTCTCTCTCTCTCTCTCTCCGTGCATCGTCCGAAGGAGAAGGAGCGCTTCCGGGGTTGCCCCGAGTTACGCCCTGACCCTCTTATATCCTTTCATTTACATATGTTGCACTAGCACGTGATTTTCCGCGTGCCGCATTCATATTAATTTTCACCTGGGAAATTTATTTGCATGCAGACATTTGTCGCAGCGGGCTCCCCGCCGTGAATTCAGACATTTGTCGCAGATACGCGCCATCGACCCCGTCGTACCGGCCATCTTCGCATTCGAAATTTCATCAATATCATCATCATCATCGCCGCTAGCGCGGTCGGCGCATCCATCTTCGCCGTCATTATCCCTCGTAGCAGCAGAGGTTTCGGGGCAAGGAGGAGTGGCCCCATCTGGTTACGGCGCTCTGCCGAAAATGCCCTTTCTGCCGCGCGGCGTCTGCGCGCACCTCGCGGACACTTCCGGGGTTGCCCCGAGTTGCGCCGTTGTGCTCTCGCAGCAGCAGGGGGGCTCGGGGTAGAGAGGGGTGGCCCCCTTTCTATTAGGAGGAGAAGGAGGAGATGGAGGAGGATCGGGATGAAGAGGAGGAGGAGGGGGAGGAGGAGGAGAAGGAGGAGGAGGATGAGGAGGAGGAGGAGGAGAAGGAGGAGGACGAAAACAGGGACAGCGACGAAAACGGCGAGAGCGACGAATACGACAAGAAAAAATACAACAATCGAAACTCGGATTTCCGTGAGTTTTGGATATGTGCGCCTGCAGAGACCTACAGAAATCTCAGGGGACCTCTGAGGAACTCCGCAGGCCTCAAGAGAATCAGAAAGGGGCATTCTCCTCCTCCTCCTCCTCCCCCTGATCCTCGCCGATTTCCGATCCACGCCGCTTCCCTATCCTCTTCCCATTATGCGTGTTCATCTTACGCCGTTTTCCGATCCACCCCGCTTCGTTATCCTCTTCCCATTATCCGTCTTCGTCTGATCTTCACGCTGTACAGGCCCGAGCCCGGCGCCATGAGTGCCAACGTTGCTGATTCGAGACCGTCTACCTTCAATACCAGTTGATGTGTGATTACTCAGACCAGATCCTTACCAACGATAGGCGGACGCCATGGCAAACGAAGACGCGATGGAACCCATGGCGAAGACGCTAGACAGCAAAGAGGAGGAGGCCGCAGAAGCGAGGGAGATCGCGTCGGCGACGATGGAAATTTTAGCGAGCTCGGGGGGAACGAAAAAGAAGAAGAAGGTGACGGGGACATCCGCCTCCGACATCGCGGCGGATCGAATATTCAACAAGAAGTGGATGGAAGAGGCTGTGACAGCGCACCAGGAGAACGTTGCTAAAAACCGAAACGATTATATATGGTGCGGAGATCGATCGCACGCCGCCCCCAAGAACCAGGTCAGATGGTGCTGGGAATACGAGGAGCAAACCAATTGGAAGATGATATCCAATTTCTCACGACGGAGTGGCCGCAGAAGTGATGCACGTCCCCCAGCGCTTGGAACGAGAAGTGCTTCTGGGACAAGGGCAGATACCGCGGCCACAATTTTTGCCCCGCCTACGCGGAGAGTCAGAACGCCGACACAGTGACATGAGCCAGCCAGTGCCCGCGCGCGCGCGCTCAGCCAATGAGCGTTCGCCCCGCGTCTCTTCCTGCAGATTCTCCTTCCTCGCGCTCCCGGGGTTGCCCCGAGTTGCGCTGCCACCCCCCCCGCCTCGAGCTTCCGGATTTGCCCCGAGTTCCGCTGCCCCCACCCCCCCCCCCATTTACATTTATTTGAACGCGTCAATATGTACTACACCCTTTCTGTTTTTGATAAATTATTTCCTCCCCTCTCTCTCTGCGCCCTAACTCCCTACCGCAATTCCTTCATCGCGCACCCGAGGATGCCCCGAGTTGCGCTGCCTCACCTCTCCGCATCCTTGCCGCATTTACTTAACTTTATTTGCGCATTTTTTCCGTTTGCTTGCGTTCATTCTCCTAACCTTCGGCCAATGCCGCCGACCCGGAGCGCCCCGCCTGATGTGATCCTTCTTGGCCCTCGCCCCTCCGCCAGATTCCCACGGCCCTCGCCCCTTGGCCCTCGCCCCTCCGCCCCCCCACCCCTCACTCATCATTTATCCAGTGACTTTCGCCCCATCCCACCACCGTGCGTGGGTGATGAGTCAGAACCTCATGAATGCTGGTTGGGATCTCGTGGATCACTGGTACTTCTGAGCGCCTGTTGGGCGCCTTTTGGAGTTTAATGGGATCCTCTTGCGGCCTCTTGAGATCAATAGCCGGCCTGTTGGGAGCCTCGAGGGGCTTTTTGGGGCCCTCTTAAACTTCTTAGGAGCCTCTTGATGCTTCTTGGGCCCGCAGGACATTACTAGAGGCCTCTCTAATCTCCAGAACCTCAATAGATACCAAAAGACACCCAAAAAGAGACACACTGATACATATACGTTGTACCTCTAAGGGTGCCCTCACGCAGCCCGGCTGGGTCCCTTCCGGAGCCCCCTGGAACCTATTTCAGGGAATTCCCGAGCCCCCTGAAATCACTAAAAACATCACCACAATCCAGAAACACCCAAAAAGAGACACACTCGTGCATATACTTTGTGCCTCTTTGGGGGGCTCTCTTGGAGCTCTCTCAGAGCCTTCCTGGGATCCTGTCGGAGCCCTCGGGCGTAGGAGTCGGCAACTCCAGCAAATCCGCTCCGCCTCCCTTCAGGGCGCGCGGCGGGAGGATTGTGCGCCACCCTCACCCTCCCTCGGGCCACTCGTCAGATTTCCGCCCCCGCTCCTCTTTGCCCTCTACGCCATTTCAGGTCAAGTCGAATGTCCGACTCGGAGATTGAATCGTCTGAGTCTGAACCAGAGGAGTTGCCACCGCCCCCAGCAGCACTGGGCATAGACCATAGAATAAGGCCAAACCCAGTTACAAGGGAATGGGAGCTGCGCTGGCGTCCAGGCCCTGAAGGCCCGTGGCTATCCAGGCCGCTAGCCCAGCAGGAACGACCATACACCCTTCTCCCCTCTCCCCCGCTCGCCCCCCTCCAAATCCTTCCTCTTCCTTCTCATTCTTATCCGCTTTCCACCCTTCTCGTCGATCATTTCTTTACTTTTGTTTCTTTCTCTCTCTCTCTCGCTCTCTGTCTTTATCTATCTATCCGTTTCTCCTCCTCCGCCT